CAACATTGTACCCATATGAAATTTTGATCATTTTTTTCTCACAAATAGAGCTTTCTTTTGGTGGTATTTAATCGCCACTGGGCACTTTACTTTTTGCGCTATAAATTAAAAAAAGTGCAAAAAATTTGAAAAAAAAAAAAAAAAAGTTTATTTGTTTCTTTTTAAAATTTTTCAAACAGGTATTTTTTCTCCTTCACTGATTTGCGTTGATGAGGCGGCACTGATGGGCACTGATAGGTGGCACTGATGGGCACTGATAGGCAGCACTAAAGGGCACTGATAGGCAGTACTAATGAGGTGGCACGGATAGGTGGCACTGATAGACAGCACTAATTAGGGGTCACGGATAGGCGGCACTGATATGCAGCACTGATAGGCGGCACTGATAGGCGGCACTGATAGGTGACACTGATGATGGGTACTGATAGACGGCACTGACTGGCATCACTTCTGGGCACTGACTGGCGGCACTGACTGGCACAACCCCTGGGCACTGACTGGTGGCACTGACTGGCAGCACTGCTGGGTGCTGCACTGGTGGGTGGCACTGGTGGGCAGCACTGGTGGGTGGGCACAGGTGGGTGGCACTGGTGGGCACAGGTGGGTGGCACTGGTGGGCACAGGTGGGTGGGCACAGGTGGGTGGCACTGCTGGGCACATGTAGGTGGCACTTCTGGGCACAGGTAGGTGGCACTGCAGAGTGGCACAGGTGGGTGCACTGCTGGGCACAGGTGGGGGCACTGCTGGGCACAGGTGGGGGCACTGCTGGGAACGGGTGGGCGGGGCTAGTGGGCGCACTGCTGGGTGGAACTTGCGGGTGTCACTGCTGGGCACCGATCATCAGGGCACTGATCATCAGTGCCCTGATGATCGGTGCCGATCCCCGCTCTGACAACTGCCGGTTCTCGGCAGTACTTTCCTCACGATCTGACAGCGTGAGGAAAGTGCAGCCGAGAACCGGCACTTGCATTTCCCTGTGATCAGCGTGTCATTGGACACCGCTGATCACGTGGTAAAAGGCCGGTGGGATCGGCCTTTCACCACATCACGTGATCAGCTGTGTCCGTAGGACACAGCGATCACGGAGATCGCCGGGTGCGCGCCCCCTGGGGCGCGCAGGAGAGCGCGTTCTGGGAGGACATCATATGACGTCCACTCAGAACTGGCCGGCCGCGGTGAAGCCGTCATTCGGCTATGCGCGGTCGGCAAGAGGTTAAAGAACTAGGCTGCAAGTTGAAGGGAAAGACCTCCATGGTGATATTCTCTGAAATATTACCTGTGCCATGCGCAACTCAGAAAAGACAGAGGGAGATTAGAGAACTCAATGCATGGCTAAAGACCTGGTGTAAGAGGGAAGGATTTGGGTTTCCTGAGCACTGGGTCAACTTTTCAAGGGGGTGCAGCCTATATGCTAGAGATGGTTTGCACCTAAATGGAAGGGGGTCTGCTATGCTGGGGGAGAGGTTTATGGGAAGGCTGGAGGAGTATTTAAACTAGGATCGAGGGGGGAGGGAGAATTAGATTGTAATGATGTAGTTAGATCAGACAGGGGTCAGTACTTATTGGTGGGTGGAATGGGGAAAGATGGGAGGAGGGCTATGGCAGATAAGAAGGTTCCCATGTTACAAACAACCAGTGGAATTGATACCATTTGTATGAAAATAAAAATTTGCAAAATACGTGTGAACAAGGTGTCAATGAATTAAAGTGCTTGTTCACCAATGCCAGAAGTCTGCCAGGCAAAACAGGTGAGTTGGAAGTTTTGGTGCATGAAGAGAACTATGATTTAATTGGTATTGCTGAATCTTGGCTTCATTCTTCACATGACTGGTCCATTAATATTCCTGGCTATGTTCTCTTTCAGAGAGACAGGGTAAATAGGAAAGGTGGTGGTGTCTGTCTCTATGTGAGAAGTGATCTCAGAGCGAGTGTGATAGAGGACCTAGTTGATGGAGAGTGTGATTAGGCTGAAGCATTATGGGTGAAACTGCACATGGGGGTGCGTACTACAAAGGTAATCACTGGAGTTTGTTATAGGCCTCCCAGTGTTAATGAGGAGGTGGAGACTCAGCTCCTTGCACATATCGATAGGGCTGCAAGGGCTGGAACAGTGATAATAATGGGGGATTTTAACTACCCAAAAATTGACTGGGAATAATGGTACTGCAGGAACGGCTTAAAGGGCAAACTTTTTGAAACCTACTACAGGACAATTTTATGGTACAGTTCATAGAGGCCCCAACTAGGAATGATGCTCTGCTGGAGCTGGTAATCTCAAACCATGCAGAGCTTATTACGAATGTCCATATAAAAGTACATCTGAAGAGCAGTGATCATAACATGATTTCATTTATTGTTAGCTGTAAACAGCGAGCACATACAAGTAAAATAGAAACGCTCAATTTTAAGAACGCTAATTTTTCAAGGTTGAGAGCTGCTCTCCAAGATTTAGACTGGGAGGGAATATTGTCGTCAATGAACACAACACATAATGGGAGTTCTTTAAAAAGACTCATCATCATCATTTAAACATTACAAGGAATATAACAGAATATGCAAAAAGGAAATAAAGGCCGTAAAAATTTAAACCGATTGACAGATTGCATAAAATAGCAGGACCAACCACCAAAAATTCTTCAAATATATTAATAGTAAAAAGGTTCGGTCCGAGCATGTAGGCCCTTTACAAAATATCCTAGAGTGGGTGACTGAGGACAAAGAGAAGGCAAATTTATTAACTACCTTCTTCAGCTCTGTGTATACAAAGGAGCACGGGGGAGCTCCTGTCCATAATGGGCATGGTATTGACACAGCCCCAGATGATCCACATTGGCTCACAGTTGATATGATCCAAAAATATTTAAAAAGGGGTTAAAATCTTTACCAAGTAATTATAGACCTGTTAGTTTCACTTCTGTAGTTGGTAAGATACTGGAGAGTTTAATAAAAGACCACATAGATGAGTTCTTGCTGGAAAGAAAATATTTTAAGCAACAGATAGCATGGATTCTTGAAAGACAGAAGTTGTCAAGCAAATCTGATTTCTTTTTATGAGGAGGTGAGCAAAACCTTGGACAGAGGGGTGGAAGTGGACATGGTATACCTGGATTTTGCAAAAGCGTTTGACAGAGTTCCCCACACACGGCTCGTGTAAGGTAAAGTCTACAGGCTTGGAAAAATCCGTATGTAAATGGATAGAAAACTGGCTAAAGAACCGTATTCAGAGAGTAGTGGTTAATGATTCATACTCTGAATGGTCTAGGGTTGTTAGTGGTGTACCCCAAGGTTCAGTGTTGGGACCCTTACTTTTTAATATATTTATAAATAATATAGGGTCTGAAATTAAAAATCCCATTTCAGTCTTTGCAGATGACACCAAGCTGTACAGTGGAATAACGTCCTCACAGGATGTCTCCAACTTACAAGCAGACCTCAGTGCTCTGTTTAATTGGGCAACTATGTGGCAAATGAGGTTTAATGTTGATAAATGTAAGGTTATGCACTTGGGGGCTAAGACTATGCATGCATCATACACACTAGGGGGGTACAACTGGGGGAATCAATGGTGGAGAAGGATCTGGGAGTTCTGGTAGATCACAAGCTTTATAGTGGCATGCAATGCCAAGCTGCGGTTTCTAAAGCGAGCAAAATCCTCTCTTGTATTAAAAGAGGTATAGACTCCAGAGAGAGAGGTTTCATAGTATCCCTGTACAAATCATTAGTAACACCTCATCTGGAATATGCAGTTCAGTTTTGGGCACCAATTCACAAAAAGAACATTGGGGAACTAGAGAAAGTACAGAGAAGGGCAACCAAACTGATAAGAGGCTTGGAGGAGCTCAGCTATGAGGAAAGATTAGAGGAACTGAATTTATTCTCTCTTGAAAAGAGGAGACTATGGGGGATATGATCAACATGTATAAATACATCAGTGGTTTATATAGTGAACTCGGTGTAGAGCTATTCACCCTGAGGTCATTCTTTACATCTGGAGGAAAAGAAATTTAATCTCCAAACACGGAAAGGTTTCTTCACAGCGAAAGCTGTGAAAATGTAGAATAGACTCCCTCAAGAGTTGGTTCTTGCCAGCTCAGTGGATTGCTTTAAAAAAGGCCTGGATTCTTTCTTAGATACACAGAATATAACTGGATACTAACATTTATAGCTAAAGTTGATCCAGGGAATATCCAATTGCCTTTCGGGGGATCAGGAAGGAATGTTTTTCCCTGCAGGAGAAAATTGGATTATGCTTTGCTGGGGTTTTTTTTTGCCTTCCTCTGGATCAACTGGATCTGTGGGTGTAGGATTATAACTTTTTTTTTTTATTTTTGTAATGGTTGAACTGGATGGTCTTTTTTCAGCCAGACTAACTATGTAACTATGAATAAAAGCTGTCCATTGGATGCACCCCTGTCAGTGTTAAATTGTTTTCTCAACCCTATAACTGCAAAATCTGCAGGACAGTGTGTTCTGTTGAAAAACAACAGACTTAGGCTGGCCATACACTAAACAATTTTCTGTCCAATTTCTGCCCAATTTTCTTTAGATTTACCTTCAACTGTGTAGTGCAAGGGCCCGCCTAATTGGATATAGCTGAAAGTGTTGTTTAGGTTTGACCTCATATTATATGGTTTTTGGTAAATATAAAGCAATTTTCTAAAGAAAATTGTATAGTGTATGGCGAGCCTTACTGGGTACATCACCAGGTGAAAATATAAAAGAAAGAAAGGCAAAAAAAAAACTAATGCTGACACCACATTTAAGAGTTGGTAGTAATTGTTTGCTTTTGGGTTTAATACTACTTTGTTAGGGTAAATGTAAACTAGTTCAAATTAAGTTTGACACTAAACCATTATAGTATACATACAGTATAATTTACAATATGGAAATCTAGGGCAGTGCTTACAATGTGAACCTTGGTATCCAATGTTGATAATTTGTATATTAACAATGCATGAATTGTTAAGCTGTAAATCTTTTTCCTGTTTTTTTTTTCAAAGAAAAATTCCTCCAGCTGCGGATAGTCCAATGCCTTCTCCAGCAGCGCATATCGGCAGTCCTTTTCCTGCATCTGTTCTGCAGCCCTTCAGCAGCCCAAGTTCAGTGTACCTACCCTCCCCACCCACTAATTCCAGAACCACCTCCTCTTATATCTTGTCCAGTACATCCTTTGTTTCATCGTCTGACACAAACTCTGTTGCGTCACACACCACAGCATTCCCCCATGTCACGACAACGCTAAATATCATGGACTCCACTTTCAAAGCCCCTTCTGCCGTCTCCCCAGTGCCGACCACCAGCCCGTCACCATCACACAAACCGTCAAAATCTAAAGCAGGCAAATCGTCAAAAGCAAAAGACCTGTCTTCACGGAGTGATGAGCCTTCAAGTAACAAAAAGAAAAAGCCTCAGACGCCTTCTTCCACCTCTTCCTCATCATTACCTTTGCAGACGTCATCCTCATCTACGTTTTCAGGGTCCCACAAGAAAAACTGCGTATTGAACTCTAATGCGACAATAAACTCTTATCAGGCGACTTCTTCCTTTAATAGTGTGTCCGTGCACAATGCAAACAATGGAACAAGCCCAATTAGTGCCAAACTGGAATCACCAGGAAGGACTTCTTTGTCTGGTAGCTCAACAGACTCTATAAAACACATGAGTATGGTTGTTAGCAGTATTGACTCAAGCCTGTCAGTGTCTTCCCTTGTACATCATCCTGGGGAGCATACACTGGCAGTTCACAATGCAGTGTCCTCGCTGCCTCTTCCCTTTGACAAATCAGAGGGTAAAAAGCGTAAAAACTCAAGTGCAAGCAGTAAGGCCTGCAAAATCACTAAAATGCCTGGTATGAACAGTGTTCATAAAAAGAGCACCACCAACCTTATATCTCCTGTGCCAGATCCACCAAACAGCTCCATGTCAAGACAGGTAGGTTGATAGACATATTCAAGTCACACTGTAACTGTTACAGTTATGGTGCTCCAGCAACCATATGGATGTTACTGTCTGACCACATTGAAGAATATATGACAATTTTCTTTTTAAGCAACAGTGTTTAAAAACAATGCTAAACTAATTGGAAATACAGTAGTAAATTAGTCATGATTTCATAATGATGTCCTTCTATTGCCTGGAACACATCAAATAATCACGTAAGGATTCTCTATATAAGAAGCTTTAAATAAGAAAGAAAAAGTCATCTGAAAAACAAAAGCTTAACTTTCACTAAATTACATTGCATTACATTGAATTTACTCTGGTTTACTCTTGATTTAAATAATATCTTTTACGTTGATTGAGGGACAGTTATTAAGGGGTCTTGCAAGGTTCTGATATGTTGCATCTTTATAATGATGCTCCTTTGGGAAAAATGTGTTCTGGTCATATATACTCTTAATTTGTTAGGATACCCATTTTATTTTACTATTGTACAAGGGAAATTGTTATCGAATGACTGGTTCATTGCCAGGTCAGTGTTCATTGCCTTTTTTTTCAATCGTGGCATCCTTTAAAAGTATTTTCAGTCTTGAGGCACCCCAGGCTAAGGCTAGGTTTACAATACAAAATTGCACGCTTTCCCAACATGCAGACAAACGTGCTGCTCTTTAGCAGATGCATGGGGGGTGCCATTAATTCTTAAGGCACCCACATACATTGGCAAATGCAGGAAATTTTCATGTGTGCCAAACTGCACAGTGCCGGTTCACTGTGGTGCCATTCTGTTTTTGCGAGAAGGGCAACCCACTGAAATAAATGGGCTGACCTACACTCAGCACACAGCAGTACAGATGTGAACCAAGTCTAAAGGTGCATTCACACGCGAGGTTGGGGGGTAGTAAAATCTTGTGGTTGAACTGCTTTTTTTTTACAACCCCTAACTACTCCCCTTTTAGCCACAGAGACAGCGTCTGGGGTCATACACATGCTGTGGCCACAGTAGGAATTATACATCCCATCAAGGGCCATACTGCAACCACTCCTCAGCTGCATGCATTGCACATGGTTGCTGCATGGTGGTGCTGCATTTAGGGGGTTTAAACAGCTGGTGAAGAGGCAACATATGCCTTGAAAAGCAATCCAAGTTAGGAGACACACACAGATACACACACACTCATATATCTCTCCAAAACTGGTCTAGAGGCACTCACCGGTCTTGCAGAGGAGGATCAAAAACAGCAATGTTTTTATTGTCAACGGTCAACAGGTAATGAATACTCACAAGAGTTGTTGGTGGGCGGGACTCTGGGTTTATTAGTCTGTTCACTTCTGTGATGTAGTGTCTTGGGAAAGATGGATTGAGCTTCATCGAAACATCTTCCTCCTCTGCCTCTAAACCAGTTTTGGATTTTATACGGATTTCTTTGTGGGTGAGCACCTGGGCATTTATCTCAAACATATAGTGCTGTGGCTACCTTTGGAACTATCTATCTATCTATCTATCTATCTATCTATCTATCTATCTATATATAGAGAGAGAGATAATCACACACACATACTACATATATACACAAATACATACAACCTTTTTAAAAACTGCAGTACTGTTTCTGCACCAGCACTGTTGGGTACTGGATCAGGACTCCCCATTCCATTGCTCTGCACTTATTGTCCTGATAAAGTTCCCACTGTGGAAATGTACAGTTCAGCGGAGCTCGATGGGAGTGGGAGCTTGATCTGGCAGCCTTTCTGGGGTGCTGCGGCACCCCTGGTAAACACAGATGGCCTCTCATGGTGCCAATGCACCTAGGCTGAGAAAATCTGGCTTAGATACATGTAAAAAATATATTTAATCTATGGAAAATTTTCATGTAACTGTTATTTACCGCTTCCCAAGTGCCCTATAACAGAAATACTGCTACAGGGTGGCACGGGTGCGCAAAATCATGTGTATATATGTGATTTTGCATTTCCGGGTAGGGGGGTGCGCGCGCCCTACCCGCGTCACCATTCGTGGCCGTCAATCACCAGGTCCCGGCCAGTGATTACCCACCGGCGCCTGGTGATTACCGAGCATCTCTGACATGGAAGGAGAACTGTTTTGTTCTCCTTCCTGTCTGCTTAGGCACACTGCTTTGGATGGCTGTGCACAGCAAAGCCATCCAAAGCAGTGTGCTTACAGTGAAGCACACAGATACGGCCCCATAGTAAAACACACCCAGCACACAGTTAACCCTTTGATCGCCTCTCGTGTTAACCCCTTCCTGCTCAGTGCTTTAGTACAGTGTCCAGTGCTTTTTTTTTTTTTTAGCAATGATCACTGTATTGGTGTCACTAGGGATGTCAGTAACACCAAGTCAGTTCCCTCCAGTGTCAGACTGTCCGCCGCAGTCCCACTATAAGTCGCTGATTGCCGCCATTACTTGTAAAAATAAAAAATGTAAACGCTATAACTTTCACGTAAACCAATTAATTTACACGTATTGGAATTTTTTTTTAGCAAAGACATGTAGCCAAATACATTTTGGCCTATATTTATGACTAAATTAGATGTTTAAAATTTTTTTTTACTGGACATGTTTAATAGCAAAAAGTCAAAAATATTGTTTTTTTCTCAAAATTGTCGGTCTTTTTTTTTTTTTTTTATAGCGCAAAAAATAAAAAACACAGCCGATCAAAAATCTCCGAAAGAAAGCTCAATTCGTGGGGAAAAAAAGGACGTAAATTTCATTTGGGTGCAGCGTTGCATGACCGTGCAATTGTCAGTTAAATAACGCAGCACCATAACGCAAAAAATGGCCTGGTCAGGAAGGGGGGTAAATCCTCAGGAGGGCAAGTGGTTAAATACAATTTTATTGTTTTGAATATTCTGCATAGGTGTTGTCTAATTTACAGTACATCTGTCCTGTTGATGTGACTAGATAAGATGAAATTTCAGGAACGTGTTAGATGTTGGAAGTGGATAAGTTTTGCTTGCTTTAGGCGGAGTGGGCATACTACAAAGTCTGAAGGTATTCATTGCCTGTTGTAACTATTGAAGTAGTTTTTCTGTCTATTAACAAGGCCTAAATAGATGTCATAGGAATAGGACTCTTTACTAGACTCTAGGTTTTCAAACAGATAATCAGAATATCTCCTGTGTGGTCAGTTGGAAAAGCCAGTTCCCAGCAGCAGAAAAACTACCAAATTTACTCCTCCTGCACACTGGACATTTTTACAGCTGCTGTTGTTGGCTTTTGACATTTGTTTCTATAGCCAGTAAACTCCCCAGCATGTTATCCTATGTGTCCATACACACAGACTGTAATCAACGTTTTTTGGCTGGTAAAAAAACCCCAGAACTAGTGGGCTACTAGAGGAGTGTTTTAGCTGTAAAAATGCTCTAACGCTGAAAAAACGTGTTAATTTGCAGCAAACCGGTGTTTTTGGACTTTTTTTGAGCAAAAAAAAAATATTTTTTGGTAAAAAAAAAAAAATACACTAAAAAAACACTAAAAAACGCCAATGCGAAAAAAGCGACTAAACGCTACTTTATGTGACTTTACACAGCTCATCGTTATTAAATGCCCAGTGTACATGGAACCTTAGGAGCTGATTATATTTCAGTCATATTTTCTAAGGCAGCCTTTTCAACCTTTTTACCCTGGAGGAACCCTTGAAAAAATGTTTAGGTCTGTAGGAAGTTGATAAATACGATTATCTTGCAGGTCATGGTACATTTACTTTAATCATTTTTGAAAGTTTTAAATAAAAGAGAAGGTGGTGTGAGTACTGTATGTATTTGCAAAACATTTTATTTTTAACACCCACTTGCTGTATATGACAATATTATTTTCAGAACTGATCTTGAAATACAATGAACAATAATAACAGAAACATTCTGATAGTGAAAATTGTGGTATCCCCTAACACTAGTGGTGGTATCTCCTAATAGTAGTGTCCATGTAGAAGAAGCCCCTGACTTTGATGATCATTGTAAGTGATGATCACTGTAGGTGGGAGATCAATCTGTTACTGCCCAAGAACTTCCTAACAACGTCTCGAGGAACCCTGGTTGAGAGAGACTTTTCTAAGGCAAATAATATTTTGGTGTACTTTTAAAACAAATGGAGAACAGCATGGTCTGATGCCCCTCCTTTACAGAATAGTCAGAATTCGTCTGCAACAAGAGCAGCAATGTTACTGAGAACCTTGTATATGAAATTACATCTACACAACTAAAATCTTTTGGAATGCTTATGTCTTTTTTTTTTTTCTTTTTTTTACAATAGTTAGGATGTTGCACTGTTTGGTTGCTAGAATTTTAGTCAGATGTTTTTCTGGAATATACTTTCTGCACTAAATTTCTTTATCTTTTTACCAGATGGGGAAAAGTAGCAGTGTAGCTTTGTCACAGTCTACTCCTTCAAGTACATCAAATACTGCACACAACAAACAAGTAAGTACCT